ACAGGATGCAGTTAACCCTTTGGAGTCTAAGGGTATTTTCTCGATTTTTAGATGTTTCCTTAAAGGGGACCTATCATGCAAAATGCACTTTTGTACGTCTTTTATACATGAATATGTGTCCCCGGTGTTCCAGGGAACTCACCAAGTGTCAGAAAACACAACCCTCTCTCTTTTCCTCCATACCCAAATCTCTAAAAACGGGGCTGCAACGGATCTGATACAGACTGATAAAGATTTGAACATTTCTCTGACGTCAGGACGGAGGAGCTCCGCCTATATGGCCAACTCTCCACCTATCAGGGTAATGAGAGGTTGCCGTGGCATGGTAACAGCATGGTAACATGACGCTCGTAACTCTGCCCCCTCCTTTGCAGGGGGGCGTGGTCAGCTGCAGCGCATGCAAAGACAGGGGTGGAGGAGAGCAAAATAGAGCGAAATGAGGCATGGCTAATCTGTTTGGTATTTTGAAAAAGAAAACGTATAAATATACCTTAGGTATGGCCCTACAATATATTATTCAAATATAGCATGATAGGTCCACTTTAAATCACCTTTTAAATGTACTTCTTATAACATGGCACCCCATGTGTTACATATGAAAATGTTCAGGACAATCTCTGGTCTTGCTATAAATGCAAATTACTCACCTTAGAACACTGTGTGATGAGATAAGTAGCTCTAAAGCTTAACATTTGACATCAGATTTTCGGAAAATCTTCGAAACTCTTGTGAAAACACAAATTTACTCATGTCATCCAATTTTTTTTGGTGTTTTAGATTTGGATCACAAAAAATATTTGAATTACACTATATATAAATGTGTAATTCATGTCTAAAATGAAACAAATTAAATTCAAATTTTGAATAAAATAGGTTTATCACTCTACTTTCACCACAGCAGGGACTGAGATACGTTAGGACTGAATAATGACTTCATATTACATACCAAGGTTCATGTGATGTGTACAAATACAAATTGAGCATTCAAACTTTTTTTTCAACCAACAATTTATTATAAATATGTTTTTTTCAACTAACTATTTATATAAATATAAGAAACTGGAAAATCTCTCTATTTACAATATTGAACATCAGAACTTTCAACCAACTATTCATTATAAATGTAAAGACAGTGTCAAGGTCTTTGTCCGTCTTCCAAGACAGTGGGTCTGGCTGCTGTGTCGGTGGGGGTGATGGTGCATGGGCTGCTGTGTAGGTGGGGGGTACGTGTGCTATACGAGACCTCCACGACACCTCCTTGCTGGCTGGGTTGATGGTGATGGCTGTGGCAGAGCCTTTGTGCCGTGTGTATCTTGACCTGGTGGCAGCCACAGATGGAGGCAGCTGTGGTCATGCTGGTCCTCTGGTCCTTGGTGGTGATGGCTCTGGTGAAGGCCCTTGAGCCACGGTAGATCTTGACCTGGGGGCAGGCACAGATGGATGTTCTGGCTGCTGGATAAATGTTGCTCAAGCACAAATAACAATGCACACACAAAAACAGAAAGACAGTTTGAGCAGGAGGCAACGGCATGTTCCCGCTTATGTCCCCACATTCCCATGAGCCTCTACGGATATACTAATCCAGGAATATGCTTTGGTCAGACTCGCCTAGAACCGGTGGAGGGCGAGATAGCAGAGAGGATGAGGGAGAGGAGAGAGGAATGGCAGAAATGATTCTAGCATATCGCATAGGAAGCTCGATCTATCCCATTCTCTCGTCTCTATATCTCTTCTCATCTCTATCTCTCTCGATAATCATCGTCTTGCTATATCTCTCTCTCGTCGATTCTCGTCTCTCGCTTCTCTCGCTCTCTCTCCTATCTCTCTTCTGTTCGAGTATGGTCGTTTCAGATCTCTATCCTATACTCTTCTATCTCTCTCTCTTTTCGAGTGTCCATTGGTCGTTTCAGACCATCATGGCTGCCGGCCGAGATTTCCTTGACGGACACACGAATCGACCAATCCCACACAGTGTAACGCCGAGTCAAGCTGCTTTGAGCGGCAATATTGGCTGCTGTGCCCTGGTTACAGGCCGTTTCTCAATGTCGAGTATACCTGCTGCAGAGCCACTATTTCAAGTATACTACGTCATCGAGTGGAGCCGAATGCTGTGCCTTTAACATGCATTTAAACAGTCCCTCCTCTTTGGGTCAGGTGGCGCAGTGGTCTGTGCATCTGATCATCAGATCAAGGGGGCGTTGGGGAACTCCAGTTCGAAACCCGCTCCCGCCGCCACTGCGTCAGGCCGTTGTGTCCTTGGGCAAGACACTTCACCCGAATTTGCTCCTGTGGGTATTGTCCACAGTACATGTATGATATTAATGTGTACTTGTAAAAGTGCCTCGATGACTTCGAGGTGTGAAGATGGCCGGTGTGGCGCAGTCCGCTGTGCAATGATTATCAGATCAAGGGGGTGAACCCCGCCGCCGCTGCGTCTGTAAAGCCGTTGTGTCCTTGGGCAAGACACTTCACCTGAACTTGCTCCTGTGGGTATTGTCCACAGTAGACCATTACATGTATGTATGATCTGTATGTGTAATGTGTATCTGTAAAGCGCTTTGAGTCATTGATAAAGCGCTATAATAAATATAAGGATTATTATTATTATTATTCGGCGCCACTCGATGACGTAGTATACTTGAAATAGTGGCTCTGCAGCAGCTCTACTCGACATTGAGAAATGGCCACAGTCTCACAGGAGGTACCGCTGGAAAGCTAAACTTCCAGCGATTCCACGGATATCTGAATCGTATTTCTACTCCTTATAATCGAAAATATATGATTAATTACGTAAATGATGCGCACCTGGACGCCCCGGCGCGTCCACCGACTCCAGAGGGGCAACTTCATTTCTAACAATGTAATTGAAGCTTAAGTCCACTTACTTGCTCTCTGAGAATGTTAGTCTCAACTCACACCAAATGAAGGGCTAATCAATTTTGTGTGTCATTTGTGACCTGCTCCATCGAAATCAGTCGCATTGACCCGAAGACACATTTTGAGTTGTATACACTGTTGGAAAGAGGAGATTCCCAGCTTTCTAATGATATCAGGATTGTTTTTGTACTCCAAATATTAAGCAAAATATGTCACATTATATAATGACTGTCACCGAGTCATCATTTTGAGAAAAAGGCCTTCAAAGTTTCCTCTTCTCTGGAATCCATCGATCTGATTGATTATTAGCGGAGCAAATGATCAAAATACTACGGAGGGAAGATATTTTCGCTTGGATTACTGGTCTGGGGGAAGCTCGCGAGTGTGTGTGTGTGTGTGTGTGTGTGTGTGTGTAGTGTGTGTGTGTGTGTGTGTGTGTGTGTGTGTGTGTGTGTGTGTGTGTGTGTGTGTGTGTGTGTGTGTGTGTGTGTGTGTGTGTGTGTGTGTGTGTGTGTGTGTGTGTGTGTGTGTGTGTGTGTGTGTGTGTGTGTGTGTGTGTGTGTGTGTGTAATTTTGCGTTTGTGTGTATTGTGTTTGTTTTCCCGGGGAAAACACTCACGAGAAACACCGGCTGTTGTTATGCCTGCTGTGACGTCAAGTTACTCCGTTCTTCGCTTGTAATTATGCCGTTACAAGCTTCAAAGTTGTATTTATCATCTGAATTTGCCGAAACAAGTTTAATATTTTGAAAGCCAAGACTTTGTTTATTTGAAATCAGATGTAAACAAACTGTAACGGACCCTGCCGTGTTATCTATGATTACTATACGCCTTACATTCAGAATTTCAGCCGGAGGGAGGGGAAGCAGCGCTGCGGAACAGCAGAGTGGCGAGTGAGAGCTGTCATCTTCACTTTACAAGCTTCAAAAATGTATTTATCGTGTGATTTTGGACATAACAGTTTCATATTCTGAAAGCCAAGACTTTGTTTGTTTAAAATCAAACAAAACACCCAAACCCCGAAAAACAATTTTTTTACACAAATCCACGTTTATTTTGAAATGAGCCGTTGCGACTTCCGACTGATTTCGATAGAGCGTGTCACATTTGTCATTGAAAAGTTTACAGATACTTTCAATATCTGTTTTTGGTAGAAAGAACACAGGGTTTTGATGGATATTTGATTCTATCTGCTATTGTTGCAGTTCTCGTATTTTTTTAAAGTATCCCTTCAAAAATCCTCTCTAATTTTCGAGCAGAGATAACAGCTTAAAAAGCACAAAGGATAAAAACAGAAAGTAGAAAAAATCCCTTCTGTTACTCTTGATTCAGGACAGACAATAAAAGAGAAGAAGACTAACCCCTGTACCGTAGTACTTTTCCCAGGAATAGTTCCGATAGTTCCTGGGATTTTGCGTTCACACCAAAAAGATCTGGAACTAGAACTTTTTTTTGCAAACCTTTTCACCCCTTTTTAGTCCCTGCTAGAGAGCAGGTACTTTCCTGGGGAGAAAAAGGTTCCAATTTCTGATTGGCAGCCCGCATGAAGTTTTGCTGGCCATTACATCATTATAGCATTAGCATTAGCCCAGCGCACCACCGGAGAGAGAATAACTTATGGCAAACACACAAAAAACATGGGAGCGGTGGTGGTGATGAGAAGAGTGTCAGCGTTCTGGCGATTTACTCGGAAGGCTTCAGTAGAAGCTGCTGGGACTCCAACTCCGCGGACTTCCGGCCGGGGACTTCGGGTGGCAGTATACGCCGTGAAGTTGTTTGCGCCTATTATTAAGTAAGTACATCTGCTTTCTTAATACTACTGGTTTATTTACTCTGTCTTTATCATAGCACTCCGATTGAGCTTTCTAGTTCTTCCGTTGTTTCCTGAGGCCCAGATGTTTTTGCAATAGCGCCAATGACAATAATACCACCAGAGGAGCAACAGTTGTTTGAAAGTTGACTGTTTCTGCTTACACTATTTACAAGCTTTTTTTTATGAATTAATACTTTGTGATAGGGTGTGCTGTCATGTTTTTTCCATATTTATACAATTAGTGAAGCAAGAGCCCCACATGGCGTTAGCATGACATTAGCATAGCATGGTAACAAGGCGGTGGTACTTACCTTGGTATCGGATAGCGATGCCAGTAGATGTGCCTGTAGCGTCTGTTATTAGCTCAACGAAGAGATACCTGGATGTGCTGAGGAGACCTTCATTGGGAAGATACTCTACCTGATATGAATCATACAGGGCAGTTGCATCTATGCTGTTACCATTTTTGATCAGCAGCCTAGAAGAAAGGGAATCAAGAATAATTTAGCAGGTTCAATGCAGCAATGGGCTACTTTGGAATTTATAGGACCTTTACTCATTTTGGAGGTTTAACCCCATGTATACAGAGGCAATACTTTATACTGAGGTTGCACACATAAATAGATTTTTATTAAAAACGGCTTAAATGTTCCAGGTCCAACAAACTACAGTACACTATGTGCTCAGCACTAACTTAGTGATTAATACGTGAAAATCTGTAGCATTTAGAAGCTAAAGAGAAGGATAAAACCGAGCAAAAAGTGGAGTAAATTCTGGACATTTTTTCAACAAACCGAAATACAACTATGATTAAATAATAGGTTACTTAATTTCTGCTATGTGTAAATAGGCAACTGTTGGCAAACATGATCACTATGCAAACTAGTTTCTCAGACATTGTGTTATGAGCCACTTCCATTTAAGTCTATTGTGTAGTTGAAACTGTTTTGTAAAAACAACCATCAGTACTTAGAGTCATTTGGCAAAATGGATACACACTCTCCATTATTTACAGTAACATTTAAACTAAATCGATTCAGTACATTTAAAAAAAAAAAAAGAAGCTATACAGTAGATGTTGGTTTGCTTCTGGCCTCACCTAAGTTAACCACTCATTATGGAAGTTATTTACATGGTGTGACTATAAGACTAACAGTGACAGAAAGCATCCTCAAAGAATGACTCACATATTTTAGTGGGAATGCTGATACAGCATTCCAACTATATGTTATGCTACGGACAAAAAGTTTATTATTCCGCCGACTTATTTTGGCCCTCTTCTCCTCCCACATTCAACATCGCAGAAACTCCGTTCAAACATCAAAACGTTCAGCTCGGTCGGGAATCGCAGGCTATTACTTTTATCATTCATAACTTTCATAATTCCAGAGATACATCCCATAATTCATCACATTTTTAACATTTTAACTTTAACATTGCGCAGCTCGTGAAGGCAGAGTGCGTGATGTCACAGCTAGAGGGTAGTAAATCTTGAAATTTGCCTTCATATTCTTTTTTTAAACTGCCATAATTCCCAAACCCTACATTCCTGAGACATAATTTTTCATGACAAACGTAGGAAAACATCTCGTAGCTTGAAATATGACAAATAATTAAGCAAAATAATTAAACAAAATGCCTCTTGAGGGCATGAAGTGACAAAAAGGTTCAACATGTCTCCATTAAAACCCATTGTAATTTCAGGCTGATATTTCCTCACAGCAGCAGCCGCACACCTTTAGTTAAACTGCCAAAAAGGCCACATTATTAACCCGAAAGTACACAAAAATTACACTTCAGATACTCAACTTCCTTGACATGCTTCACGTTTTGAAATTTCACAGATATCTGTTATCGTTCTTCCACAAAACGTTCACATGTAAGAGGTTCATCTCTCATTCAGAACATAGCAAACCTTTGATCACTACAGAGCTCGTTAGCTCAACTATAAACACCTGTGTAATGGAACACGATGATGTCATCACTCCAACTGACAGCAGTCAGTTCTAACTGTTCATTTCATTCTCTCTCTCTCTCTCTCTCTCTCTCTCTCTCTCTCTCTCTCTCTCTCTCTCTCTCTCTCTCTCACTCTCACTCTCACTCTCACTCTCACTCTCACTCTCACTCTCACTCTCACTCTCACTCTCTCTCGCTCTCTCTGCCACAGACACACACACACTCTCTCTCTCTCTCTCTCTCTCTGTCTCACACACAATGTTCCAAACGGCCCAAAACTTCACAGGTTTGGTAACGATGCAGCCATCAACGCATCTAAGTGTAGTATGGGGTGTCATCAAATGCCGTTGCCATGGCGACAGACCACTCGCCATGAAACACGATGTCGCTGTAAGTCCAATGGACACGGTCCAATCGTCCCCCAATCTTCACTTGTATATCACCTGTCCATGCCTCAACAGCTCTACGCCAAATCTGAAATCTCACCATATGCCGTTTCCATGGAAACGCATCCCTCGCCATAAAACACGATGTCCCTTTAACTCCTATGAAAATGTTCAAAAAGTGCTCAAAATTCACATGTGTGCTAACAATCCAGCCGTGAAGACATCTACGAGACAGTTTTGAGATTTCTTCAAATGCCGTTGCCATGGCAACACTGCTCGCCATGAAACACGGTTTTCTCATAACTTCAGTGAAAATGCTCCAAACGGCCCAAAACTTCACAGGTTTGGTAACGATGCAGCCATCAACGCATCTAACTGTATTATGGGGTGTCATCAAATGCCGTTGCTATGGCGACAGACCACTCGCCATGAAGCACGATGTCGCTGTAAGTCCAATGGACACGGTCCGATCGTCCTCCAAATTTCGCTTGTATATCACCGGTACAGCCCTCAACAGCTCTACGTCAATTATAGGGTTTCTTCAAATGCCGTTGCCATGGTAACACAAGGCTTGCCATGAAACACAGTTTTCTCATAACTTCAATGCTCCAAACAGCCCAAAACTTCACAGGTTTGGTAACGATGCAGCCATCCACACATCTAAGCGTATTATGGGATGTCATCAAATGCCGTTGGCATGGCGACAGATCATTCACCATCAAGTTAGTTCAAAAGTTTGCAGTTCAAATATTCTGCTGCTTTTCCAAGCCTTTTTACTTTATTTTCTTCTCTCATCACACATTCAAGCCCCCAGTGTTCATGTATCATTTCAATCTAAATTCTTCACTTTCTTCTTACACATTACATTTCAGCATAGCAGTTTAGCATCAGATTTTCAGCATAAAGCATTCCCACTAGCAATTTCTTCAGGAATTGCTTTCTCTAGTCTTACATATTATCTAAACATCTTCAATTTGAGGTTAATGGCAATAATCTCTCAATGCTCAGGAGATCTGCCTGCACACATCTACAGTAAGAATGGTACAACAGATCAAAGTTTAGGTAGGAAGTTGGTGTGTTGACAACTAACTGAGTTTGACAAATCTTTTTTCCATTTACTTCACCTTCACGTAAGTAAGTGGTGGGAGCTGATGGAAGCACTGAAAATTGTGCTTATAATGTTAGGATTGCGGAAAGATGACCAAAACCATAGAAGACTATGAAACTGCCTAAAACAAACACAACTATAAAACACACTCCATTCAAATTTGATAGAAACAAAAGAAAAACTGTGACCCAGCTGACACTCATGATGTTTTGCCACCTGCAGATGGGGGGTCTATTTAGCAGTAAGACTCAGTGTTCATATGCTGCAAGCCACAGCCCCCCCACCCGTGGTTCTGTTCCTGCATGGCCCCCTATGGTGGACTGCATTGATCTCTGCCTGCTCTGCCTTTGATGACTTAAATTATGCTTCTCAGGTAGTGAGAAGAGAATAGAGCACAGCAGAGCCTTGATGTCAAAATAAAATCTATATTTACATTTATTCTTTATGTCTCCATTCACCCTGACTGAGCAAATCTGACGGAAAAAAGTAATTCCCTTTTGGTTTACTTCTCTGGTTCCTCCAAAAACAAAAAGTGATGCAATAAAGAGTGTAACAGATGATATGTTATTCTTGCTTAGTTATCCATTAGTAAAAGGATCTGCTATTCCCCTGAAAAGACCCATACAGCCATTGTATAATCTCAACACCTACAAATTATGTAGAGAATCATTACATTTTTTTATCAATTTATATATTTAATGTTTCCTATACCTTCTGAAAAGCCATTGTTTTCTATAGATTCTATTTCTATTAGATTTTTAGTCAAATTGTTTTTTTAGTCCATCAGACACATGCTGATGATTTCAGTGTTTTTTAGTGATTTATATTTTATCAAGTTTAGAATATTCATTATACATTTAGAAAATGTATATATTACTAAGAAACTCTAGAAATTTCAACAGAGTTTTTACACTTGTGCATGCCTATTCGTTATCCTCTTCACATCATCCCTTCTTTCAGTTTTTTAGGTTCCTCCGAGCTGTCTAGACGTCTCTTCGTGTCTATGGGGGACGGAGTCTTAAGAAACCTGTGGCAGTTATAAAGTAGTGCAATGATGGCGTATTTTTGTAGGGCAACCCGGAAGTTAGCATCACTATACTGTAGCTCCCTAGACAAAAAACATTTTGGAATATTGTAGAAAACAAGGTATGTGTCAAATACACCATTATGATACTTTGACATTTTGTTCAAAAGGATAATCTCCACATATTGACACTGCTTTTATAAAAGTTGAAGCATTAATGCAATTTAGCTAAAAAGTAATTTTTTTTACAAACTGTAAAGTCCACTGAGACAAATATAAAATGTGTGATATTGGGCTATATAAATAAACTTTGATTGATTAATTACATTTCACCAAGGTGTTTGGCATGATTACGTTTAGACGTTTCATTTAGTCACTTTTTAGCAACTGACATTTGTAAGACACGTTAAAGCTTCAGATATCAACAGTTTACTGACCTATTTTATGTTGTAGCACAAAACATGAACATCTCCTGAGCTTATATTAACCACAGACCTTATTTCAGGCATCTATCAAAAAACACGTTTAAAAAAAAGGGTTGACATCGAGACGAGGGAGTGCAAAAATGCAGACTCATTTATAGTTAAGGACTCATTCCTGCACCACTCTATTGGCTGGTTTGCAAAATCACTCAGATTATTCAGCTAATTTCCCCCCTGCGGCGCTTCCTACCAGTCCTCCGTAGTGAGAGCCCCATGCTGTTAAAATAACAGTCAGTGCTATTAGCCGCACAGACAGCCAGTTGTTACCCTGCAGAGTCCTCAGAAACGAGGTTCTTACAGGGACAAAGCATAGGGTACAGGAGAAAAGGCCTGATTAAACACAAAGTAAGTGAAGGAACATACAGCAGTAAAGAGTAGGCTAATACATCAGTTAACTGGGCATAAACCATGAGACAATACACTGGCCTATAGCGTCTGACATTATCAAATGTCATCCATTTAGACCGTTTCACGCTTAATGAGAAATAAATAGATTCAGAATGTATGCATCTGCAGTACATTTTGAGCATCATGTCAAACTAAACTCGCTCACTGTAGAAAATATATCAAGAAAAGTCTCACTGGGAAAAATGCAATACATTCCAAAAACTACAGAATAGACCAAAAAAACTGAAATAACAGTATAGACTATCTGGATGACGTATTTGAAAACGTATTGAAACATTTAAAATCTATCATTGTTAATATCCACTCCATCCTCACTGTCTTTGCTGGTGCATCGCTGAGTTTCTTGGTGCGTTATCCCCATCAGGCAGATCTAGATCCCTCCGCTACGCGTCGGGCTCCTGATCAGCCTGTCGGTGTTCTTTTCCCCATAATGACCGCGTCGCTGCACATGATCCCTTACTTATTACATGGCTTAGTTGAATACTCGATTATGATTGGTCAATTCAGAACATGTGACACGTTGTTAATCCAGTAGTACAGACCGCTGTCAAGGATTTATTGACCGTTGTTAAGGATGCTCACATCTGCAGAAAGAAGTCCGGTCGATTTAACACTAGAACCGCCAATCGGGTCAATTTGACCCAGAGCTGTTTTTTATTGTATGTAACTTTTTTTCAATTAAATATTAAAGTCTCCCAGTCTGTGACTTTTCCTGAAAGTGTGTTATGTAGCACCCTATGTTGTTAAAAATTGTCAATATGAAGTCAGATTGAAGAAATCGCCCAAAAAATTGCCATTTATACCTATTTCCGCCCAGCGGGTCATATTGACCCCACCCCTTTTCATATAAACATGACGTGTTGCTATAGCAACGCCTTTTGTCTACTGCGGTTCCTTATAGATTGAGAGATAGATTGAGAGAGAGAGAGAGATAGATAGTTATAGATAGAGAGAGAGAGAGAGATAGAGACAGTCTGTAGTGAAGGAGTGCGCTCCCGCTCACGGGAGACTGCTCGCGCTGCGCTCCGCAGCAAACAGCTGTGGGGCGAGTTGAAAGTACGTTATGCTGGCCGGGGTGTCTAAATAATGCTTCCGGGCCAGCGGGCCATTTATAATGTCGAGCCCTGTATGAAAAGCTGAGAGTCCACAGATTCTATTGGTATACGTTTTATCCCTGTGCGATCAAAACTCACTGTTCAATAAAAGAACATTTTACCTTGAAAATCAATGCATTCTAATAGCGGGTCAATTTGACCCAGGTGGCGGTTTTAGGTATACAAAAACCTCTGGCGGTTCCTGATCAGCCTGTCGGGTGTTCTTTTACCCATAAGCCCGACGGATTTTAAACTAATTTAAAAAAAGCTGGAGAAATCATCTGTGGGTGTTTGCACCTGCTATATCTGACTATTTTATATGGATTTCGATGACTACTTTTTTTACGATGTTGTATTTTAGTGTTGCCTCTGTGTTTAGTGTCCTGTCTGTCTGTAACTTTGTGTGGTAGTGTTACCACTGACAGGTCTCTCTTGAAAATGAGACCTTGTGTTTCAATGAGATTTTACACCTGTATAAATAAAGGCTAAATAAAAAATAAAAATGACCGCCTCGCTGCACATTATCCCTTACATGTCCATCAGTAGATATTGTGATTTATGCAGGGTAATATATTTTATTGTAATGCCTTGGTAAGACTGTTGCTTAAGCGAAGCGTTATCATTGGCTCTTCAAATGTTCCTCTGTTATATATAAAACCAATTGTGAGCTGTCCTTACCATCACCATCATAGAAGTATATTTTTATTTTACTATAAAATTCACTCTACTGCGTCCTCTGATATGGTATTAAGCCCATTTATTTATATTTTCAATGCAAACCACTTAAAACTTCTCTTTCCCTTTCACTAAATCTTTTGAACATGAAACCAGTGAAAGCTGAAATAATGTAATCTTTTCACAGGCTATGGTTGCCTGGCGACAGGTCTACATGACCTAAGTTGAAAGAGGATTAATGCATTGTTTATAACGTCCAACCATCCTCAGGCCATAGCTGAATGTCCTTCTTACCTATCATCATCCTCAGCCAGCGCCACCTTCTCAAAGTGGACATGAAGCCTGTGGCCCTCGGGGGCCTCCAGCAGCCAGTGGCAGGTCAGGTTGTTGCTGTAGTTGCTGGGAAAACCTGGAGAGATGATCCGACCAACTGTGACGTTTTTGATCAAACCACCACAGGCAGCTGAGAAACAGAAGAATGTGGAAATTAAATAAAAACAGCAATTGATTCAAAATACATTAAACATTGACCAAGTTTACAACACCCATCCCAACCCTAACCAGTCAATCATCAACCTTCTGACCATAGATAGTTTGGTGCCAATTAAGCCAATCAGGCCAGAAATGGAGCCGGTTCCTTTGCAATAAAGGCAATCACAAAGAAGTTTCCATTGGGGCAGCGGTGGCTCAGGAGGGAGAGTGGGAGTTTGCCAATGAGAAGATCAGTGGTCATTGGCCAAAAGCATAACATGCACTAAATTCATCTTTAATATCTCTCAGTATTTTATAAAGATGGCGAATACATTTTGAAATGCTTCAAACACAAGATAACTAACGAAATCTGCATTTGAGTTCAAATCAAATTGTTACAAGATATTAAAGTTTTTGTGGGTACGCCTCGAGCTCGAGTGCTCCAAAAATAATATTCCTGTTACTCCGAATAATCCAAAGACATTAACAGCAACACTGAACAGTATGCAAAGAGAGTCCCTGATCTGATCAGTCACTTTTTTTTCTCTTCCTTGGCGGAAGAAGCAGTTTTCGCAATTCTGACTAATGTACCATTTTAAATTGAACAAATAGACAGATTTGTATTTATATATCATGCACCTTTACATTCACATTCAACAGCATGCTGGGAACCAGGAAATGAGGTAAGAAAGATAACATCATAAGAGATACAATCAAATATATCAACACAAACAGAAAATCCATCTTCAGCTATAGGAAGGTGTGTGTGTGTGTGTGTGTGTGTGTGTGTGTGTGTGTGTGTGTGTGTGTGTGTGTGTGTGTGTGTGTGTGTGTGTGTGTGTGTGTGTGTGTGTGTGTGTGTGTGTGTGTGTGTGTGTGTGTGTGTGTGTGCGTATATTTTTGTGTTTGATCAGGTCAAGGTTACTCATGCAGCCAAATCATAATTAAAACGGAGGAGGAAGAATAAACCCAGGGGCATCCTGCCCAGCCTTAAGTAATCACACCTCTATACACCTGCTTTACACACACACACACACACACACACACACACACACACACACACACACACACACACACACACACACACACACACACACACACACACACACACACACACACACCACACACACACACACATACACACACACACACAGAGAAACGTTCCCTGTGCAGTGGGTTAGGTTGGATCGGGATGATCAGGAATAAAATGGTCACTTATTATTCATCAGCAAACCTCATGCAAAGACAGAAAGACAAACATTGATCATCCTCTCACTACAGGTCAGTCTCTGTGCCTGACCAGCGGCTCCAGAAAATAACTCTTAGCTGCAAAGTCTTCTAAAATAATACCTCTAAGCTTTGATTTTGCTGTTATTGAAAAGCTATAGTTTAGATATACTACTAATAATGATGAATTTATTCTCTCTCCAAACTCTATTATCTAATAAAGCAGAAATCCGCAAAATATATATCATATTTAAAAAATAAATTATAATAACACTGAAAAGAAAGATACTGGTTATAAATATAAAGATAATTATATATTTATATTTTATCTTTTTAGATGTATGCATGCACAATATTACATTTAAACAGTTTGAAAAAAGGAATATTGATATGAATATGGTTTCTTGCTGAGGGGGCTGCAGCACCCCCATCTGCGAGGCTCCACTAGCACCCGCACCCCCAAACGCGGCGCACCTACAGTGTAAGCGCGCCACAGTTTCGCCGCTGCGAGGCTCCACTAGCACCCCCCCCCCCCCAGCGCATCACAGTTTCGCCACAGAGAGAGTGTGTGTGTGAGGAGCTCCACGGATTGGTCCATTTGGGTATGGGGACGTCACCATACCCAGGAAGAAAAAGACAAATCTCCAACGAGGCGTTCTGGGGCAGCATAGACAGAGTTTTACTCGCTACAGGGTGTACTTTGAGGGTTTTTGACTCTGCAGACCGTTTACATGCTTAAAAACCTTCATAACACACAAGGGGACGGGTAATAACCGGAAAAGCATGACATGGGATCTTTAACACTGTGGTCGCCCTAATGAACTCTCCTTCACATATACCCTAACCACATGCCGTTTGTCACTGGAGTTAAGGATTAGTGGTTAGAAAAAAACATAGGACCTGATTTTCTTTTTACAATTTGACGGTAGCCCTCACCTAGGCAGTGTGGTTCCTTGCCGCTCCAGTAGGGGGTGCTGGCGTTGCGGCAGGTGAGCACAGCGGGGCCCTGCAGCTGGTACCCGCTCAGACAGGAGAAGAAGGCCTCCCCCCCAGAGTGGAGGCTGCTCACCGACACGTCCCCGTAGAGGGGCCGCCGGGGGAACACACAGCTCAGGACGAAGGCTGCAGGGACAGAAAGGAAAGAGAAGATAAGTATTAAAAGTGGAAAAGTCAATAAATTATGTATTTTTAACTTTGAATGTCGCTTATTGAACCATTCACAATGGAGCATTTGCCTCCTTCCTTTTACAGTTGTTCAAAGAAAGTTTGAATTGTTTTTATATAAATGCAAATAATTAATATTAAAACATTAATAAAAAAAGGTCACTTGCTGTTCAATGTTTCAGACAGATCCTCATTTTCTATAAAAAGCAAAAAAGGATTCCAAGCTAGAATTAAAGGCCTCCTCTTTTAAGAATGTAAGTCATTTCCTCCAAAGAGAGGCAGGAAGTCATCTCCCTGAGCCACTGGCCCAAGCGTGGTCTCATTACATTTTACCAAGATAAGCTACAAGGCACAAATCAATTACTAATTTTTAGCTGGATAAATTCCTTATATAAACAACTTAGGGTGTAGAGGCACTTTTATGCCTATCGTCATTACAAATGCGTGTAATATGTCACACCGAGACTCCCTAATTTCCCAAAACTCACCAAGGCAGTGAAACCACTTCCCTTTATCTTCTACACATGTATTAATTTGTCTAGAATGTTATTGTCAAATGTATGTCATTTGAGGACTTTACTCATGTAAATGTGACAGAAACACTATAAGCCTGGACTTAACAAACTGAATTGATTTTGAATCAAGCTGTGTGTTTAAACAACAAATTACAGTTGAAAATAAACAGCAGTAACCCCTAGATTCCACCGAGTCCGTCTGCGCCGCATTGCGGTTTTGGTCCGGCCTCCTCCGGCGTCATACCCTACCAGGCGCGTTTCAGAAGCATTTCAGAAGCGGAGCGTCTTGCCTGCCGGCTCGCAGTTTTTGTTGATTTGGGCATATTTCCTGGACAGGCTACTTTGTACAGACAAAGTTAATAATAACTGTATCAAAGATGAATCAAAGATGTGTTGCTGTATTTTAGTGGTAAAAAAATGCATTCATCATCATAATTATTCTATATATATAATTTACACAGTGCCTGTAAACCCTGTAAATCCCTCCGTAGTCTTTCAAGTAGGAGGAGAACGCTGGCATTTCTCCTCCTACTTGAAAGACTACGGAGGGATAGGGTCTGCAAAATTAGTTTGTGTGTGTGTATATATAGCTCTGAACATTCCACTTCCTGCCTGCCCGACCTTACGTTACGGCTGCGCCGCGACAAAAATAGGATTCTATCCTAATTTTAGAGGAGCCCTGCGCCGAGCCGCTTCTGGGACGCTTCTGAGCCGTAACGCGCCGCGTGAGGTGGAATAGCACCCATTGACTAGAGTGGCCGCGATCGCCGTGAGCACCGCGGCGCAGCCGTAACGCGCCCGTAACGCGCCCGTAACGCGCCCGTAACGCGCCCGTAACGCGCCCGTAACGCGCCCGTAACGCGCCCGTAACGCGCCGCAGACGGACCCGGTGGAATCTAGGGGTTACACAGTGACACAGTTTAGTATATTAGCTTCCCCCTGTGGATACCTGCTGATTGTTAGCGCTTTTGTCCACATTGCGCCTTTTTTTGAATGGCAAGTTTTAAAAATGGTTTCCAATAAGGTCATATGCTGCCGCCTGGAAAAAATGCTGCTGATTTTTTTTCAGGCAAAATCTTTTTGTGCGGCTGCTCTAAGCAAAAAAGTGCTGGTGACATCACTGTAGACAAAGACGGAGATCGTGCATTTTGCAAGCCCCCAGGAAGTGCTCCGGACTCTGAGGAAAATATTCGTAGTGGCCAAACGGCGGTACTACAATTTTCGTATCAGTCCGTGACGTCATTGGGCCCAGAAATACTTTTTCCCATTGACTTACATTGGGAAAGAGACGTCTGTAAACTACCCAGCACGAACACTTGTATAACCCTTATTTAAATCATTAGCTTTTAAAAGTTGTAAAATGCACTAAAAGCCGAATCCAGATTTATTTTCTCTCTCCATTCATTCTACTGAGCCGAGAGCGGGAGCTCGGGGAGCGGGGCTTAACCTGTTAAGCTCTGAGCCTGTTTTTCAGGTCTCAGGCTCAAAAATGCCATTCCCAGAACAAATGACCATATCTTCCCTTCTAAAAGGGTTAAATTAATAATCTTTTTCCTCAAAGTAATGATAAACCTGTGAGTTGGATGTAAAAAAGTCAGAATCAATATAGATGTTTTTTATTTTAAAGAAAATTCAGATTTTACATAGTAAAAAACTGTAAATTATAGTGTCCGTCCAAAAATCCTTTTTTACTTATAGTGAAAACTACCCTTGGATGATGGTAAGGTAGACTAAAAGATTTAGGAATCCAAAGTACAACATATAATAAGTACCCTGTATCAAGATTGATGCAAAACAAGTGACATTTTACCTTTTTAGAGAGGTTTAGCCAAAACCACTCCACCTCTGAGGTGATTTGGGTGAAAATGTTTTTTTTTTCCATATCTCTGGCCCCCCTTGGTCGATTGTGATGGTTGACACCTCTTTCTGACCGTTAGAGCCAATAGAATCGAAGGGGGATGCCCCCACACACACTCGTTGTGAAAACAAACGGTGGGGGCTTCGCCCGGTACCGGGGGGGCGGTGCGTAACAGGTTAAGGGGCAACTCAACTGCGCATGCAGGCACTCCTTCCTAAACCTAACCAATCAGAGTAGGGGCGGGTCTTCACGGAATATGCTTGTGGAATAAAAATCAAGCTTTTTCACTGTTCACGTAAAGGCGAGTGGATTTATGGCAGGCAGTGAACCAACGATAAAAATAACGGCTCTCACCAAGTACGACTCGGTTCCCTTCGTTCCTACCAAAGAGCCGTTCAAAAGAATTGGATCGTTCACAAACGTAACATCACTGACACTAACGGAAACAAAGACCAAAAGACCCATTTGTGTGAGCAGATTAGGCGGGCAGACCCTGAGTGTTGTGCTTTTATCGGCGTATGTGGATAAGCGTCCTCGCTCTGCGGCTCAGTAGCAAAGCTCTTTCATATAAAGTGTGAGAGCAAGGATCCTCTGGGTGATGCTCATGGTAATAAACGATGTAAATCACAGAAAAAAAGTTGTCGTAACAATTGGATATAAGGAAAGATATTGTTGTCATAGAAAAGTGCTGGAAACGTTTTCTAATGAAACACTGTGGAGGCTCTGCCCAGCGCCATGTCAGGGCCTTTCTGCCAAAAAGAGAAGCTGTGTAGACCCAGGGCCTTAAGGTAGCATTTACACCCCCACTCTATTGTACTCAGAGTTGTCACATCAGTGCCAATACGTGGGGAGGCTGGCTCTCAGGTGACCAGTTAACTCACAGGGTTTTTTATTGCCACTGATTTGTCTTCCTACAGCTTCCTGGCATTCACCCAAACATATTAATAATTTATTTCTGCTAAAGACTCTGATCCATCTCACTGTAATTGTCCTAGTTTTATTGTTAGCCCTTGGATGGCTTGGCAGCGGTGCCGCTATCGATTCTGTCTGTTGGGGACAGCGCTGTGCTTCAGGCCAGGAAATATGTAGGGGGATTAAATAGGCCATTAAATGACAACCTACGACCCTGGCCGCCTCCGACACTCTGTTAGAACTGAGAGATGTTAGCGACTCTATAGTGTCTCACAAAAATAAAGATAAGAAGAGGAGTTTTGGTCTTTATAGTATTTCTCATTAGAACAACATCCCAGACTAGTGCTGCCATCACTCCCTGAGCTAGTCATTACCATGGTCAGTTGTAACTATTAATATCCAGACCAAACAAAAAGTGTGGAGCTCCTAGGCTCACTGGAGACTAGAGGAGAGATAAAAGAGCCATCATGGTAGCACTGTGGCATCATAACACTGCCGCTAACAGGGAGCTTTCACAGAGACAAATTGCCTCGGAGCAGTAAAATTCCTTCTATATACTACATCACTTTGTCTTGGGAGACCATATGGTCATGTATCATGTCTTGGCTATTAATAATCACAGCCTCTTATTCTTCTTTCATCTAAAATGAGAGATAATACAATTCTAAAAGCTGAAAAAGCATAAAGCGTGGTATTGTAACAATAACACTTTATTCTTCTTGAACTTCCAACTGTTTTAGATGTTCAGACCCCTGCCCTTAATGCAACAGAGTTACAAAATGAACGACTGATAGTAGTGCTGGGCGGTATATGGTTTCATACCGAATGCCGTGAACTTTATACCGTATCATATGAATCTTTCATATCCCGCAATTCTGTTGAAAAATTGGCAAAGGCGCTCAAGCGGTGCAGCAGTGAAAGGATTTACCAAAACCCTGGATCCAAGGTACGTGTTGCCGGGGATAATATACCTTAGCCAAACAGACATCCACGCATTGCACGAACAACGCAGAAGCAAAGAAATAAATACTGTGTATTTATGATATCGTTTGTTGTCATACTGCCAACTGATAGTTGTAATCTATCTATAATGATATTATTATATAGTTAAATCCATGTTCATCTCCACAGTAGTAGTCTGTAAAGTTAAACTAATTTAGTGGTGTAGAGTTAAAACAAACAAGAACAATGCAAAGAACTATGTGACAGATTTTCTTAATGCTAAAGTTCAGCCTGCTCTGGTTTTGAGTTTCAACAGAGTAGTCCAACCAGGCTGCTCTCATGTTAACTATAACTAACTCTTTACAATCTGTATAGAGCAATGTAGCTCGTGTTTTGCTTTCCTTTTTAATAACAAATACAACAGTATTCTGTTTTTCTTCCGGTTGTTAATTGGCATGAAATAAGGATACTGTCGATACACCTGAAGCACACACTTGAGGTTCATCACTAAATGACACATTTTACTTCTCCCTGGGTCAGCCTTCTGATATGTGCAGGAAAAAAGGAGTGACTGTATATCCAAGCAAAGTTTAATTTGTAATAATGATTTTGGAATGTATTGTTTTTTCAATACCACCTGAGAGGTGGATTAAAAAGCACTAAAAAGTTACAAAGAGGAAGAAAAAAAACCATTGGATACTTACGAAGTTTTGGGTTTTAATGTGCCTGGC